GTGGGTTTGGGGGTCCCCTCTTCCCTCAAGTGAAAGGAGAAGGAGCAAACCTGGTGGGGAGGAAACGGATGGATCCTCCCAGCTGCAGTCAGCTCCCGGGATCTCTTGCAGGAGGACGAAGGCAGGGATGATGGTGAGACCCTGGAGCTGTACCAGCAGAGTCTGGGGGAGCTGCTGCTCCTCCTGGCTGGTGAGTTGGGGCTGTGGTGGGGGCTGGAGAGCAGGGATGGATCCTGCTCCCATGCCTCATCCGGTGGCACGTCCCTCTTTCCTCTGCAGCGGAGCCAGCAGGGCGGCGACGGGAGCTGCTCCACGCGGAGGTGAGTGCCAGCCATGGGACACCCACCTGTCCCCCTTGACCTGGCTCCAAAGAGACCGTGTCGTCTCTCTCTCTCTGCCAGATCCAGATGCTGATGGCCCGAGCTGAGTGCCTGAAGGATCAGATCAAGGTACGGTTGATTGGTGTGGAGCTGGAGCTGAGCGGGGATGCAGGCCGGAAAACTCTCCTCTCCCTTGGCAGATGCGGCAGGCACAGTCCATGGGCAAGGAGGCACTGGCAGAGCCCATCCGGAGCGGTGAGTCCTCCTTTCCAGAGGGGACTTGGCGGGGAATATCCCTCCAGCTGCCACAGCCATGGGGATATCCCTGCCCATGGGTGATTCCGACCCTGCACACCATCACCCCCACCCCCAGCATGGCGTCATCCAAGTCTGGGAACCCACCTGGACAGGGTGACAGTGGTGTGTGCAGCCAGGTGAGTCCCCTCTGTCCCCCGGTGCAGCCTGTACCTTGCAGTGATTCCCAGGAGCCGGCCAGTGGATGCTGCTCACTGCCCTGTGCAGAGATGCCGTCGGAAAGATGAGGCTTCCGTCCCCGCTGCATCAGGGTAACACCTCGGAAGTCACCCTCGGGCTCCCATCCCCAGGGGGTCCACAGGACCATCTGCCTCCTCTGCCAGGCACTGGGCTTGTTTCCCTCCTAGCCCTGACTCGACCGTCTGCTGCTGCAGCCTCCCCTTCCACGGCGGGCGGGTTATTCCACTCTAATTCCCTCCACTGGCTGCCACGGGATGGGTATTTTTATCCTGGCACCGGGCTCCAGCAGAATATCCACCCTGATTTTTTGGCTGGGTGTTTCTTCCACCTCCCAAATTCTGGGGGAGCGTCTGCACAGCCCAGGTCCACAGATCCCAGCCGGGAGCTCAGGGTGGTCAGGGGTGCTCTGCTGTGCCTTCCTCACCCAGCGTTCTACCTCTGTACCCACTACAGCTCATCCAGCCTCCAGCACCCCTTTGCACTGTCCCAGCCCTCCTTCTCACTGCTGGAGCATTGGGAATGAGGCTTTTTGTTTCTAAACCTGGAGTCTGGCAGGTACTGACTGCATCATCATTGTCATGCGTGTGAGCAGTGTTCAGCAAGGGTCTGACTGAGTCAGACATGAGGAGGAATCAATCACCTTCAGGGACAGACATCCTCGGCATCCTGCATGCTCTGCTCCACTCCTCAGGGCTCTGACAACCCCAAGATCCAAACCATATTTCCAGCAGTCACTTGTCAAGGGGTGCTGAGGTCCACCTGTCCTGCAAAACAAGGGACTTGTCTCAAAATCTACTGTATCTCAAGGGAATGTAATTTATTGTCTTTTAATAAATGCTAATTTTGGTTTCTCCACCTTCTCTGCTCTCAGGTTTGTGATTTGAGCCCTAAGAGGGTCTCCAGCCAAGCCCAGGACCCAGAGCCAGCATGGGATCCTGGAGCCATCGAGGAAGGCTGGGGACCCTCATCCCTGTCCCCCAGGAGCAGAGCCAGGGTGTCCCCTCCTCTGCTCCAGTGATGCCCTCCTTCCCTGTGCTCCCTGGGGACACAAGGCAGCCAAAGCAAGGTTTGACCTTGTTTTCACTTCCCATCTTTTTTATTTTTTGTGTGCATGGAAAACACAGAACAGAACGACACGAGCCGTTACGTAAAATCTTGTTTTCTCCAATAGATTTTTGTGGCGGGTGAAGAAGGACTGGGCTGGGCTGGGAGGGAAGGCAGAGGGGCTGGAGCAACTGATGAGGGGTGTTTTTTGGGGGTTCTAAGGATATTCTGAGCCACGACCCCAGCCAAGCTCTTCCTCAGGCATCCTCCTCCCCAGATCCCGCCCCTGTGCTGGCTGCTCCGTGCCCAAGCTGGTGAAGAGCTTCCTGGGCAGATGCGACAAGGCATTTTTGTATGTTTTTATTATTCTGAGCAGAGATTATATCCCAAGGCTTTAAAGAGCTTTCCAACCCCCGTGTCCTCCCCCAGGCCTGGGGCTAGCACGGAGCCGCTGGGGACGGCTGCACCGGCTGGCTGCGGCAGCCGGCGCGGATAATCGCATCTGCCTTTATGCGCGGCTGATTCTGGAGCCTTTGGAAGCAGCACGAGGCTCCGGATGCTCCCCCCGGGGTGATGGAGCTTGGGGTGCCCTGGCTTTGTGTCGGGGTGGATGTGAGTCTCTTCTGCATCAGGGCTTCTCGGCGGAGCGCTACCCAAATGTCACTGCCCGGGCTGGAGGGGAAGTGGCAGGGAGCGAGCAGTCCCCAGCCCGGCAGTGTGGCCTCTGTCACTCAGCGTGGCTTCAGCTTCACAGGGAGGAGCAAGCACTGCCGTGTGCCCTGGTCCCATCCATTCCATCATCCAGCTCTCCGAAAGGGCAAACCTCACAGGGTGGCTCTCAGGGTCAGATTGTCACCCGAAGAGGGACACGGGGGTGGCAGATGGGTCGTCACACTCGTGCTGCCAGCGTGTGGGTTGATGTGAGTTCAGACACTCAGTGGGTTGGGGAGGGCTGGGTCAGTGTGTGGAACCAACCCTGGGTTTTCCCAGGGATCTTTAATCTGGGTTAATCCCGCTAGCTGGACCAGCAGCAGTTGGATGGATGGGGCCATCCCCTCCCTCAGCAGCTCACAGGGAAGTTTAATTGCCTGCAAAAAGAAGGAAGATTCCCCCAGCCTTCCATGGTGGCTCAATTGTTTCCGCACTTTAACAATTGCTCATTTAACTCTTAATCCACTGGGGAAACCAATTGCTCATCCCAGGCTCCACAGCAGGAAGGAGGAAGATCCTGTGGCCAGGTAAGGAATGGGCTGGTGCAGAAGAACAGGAGTTCTGTCAGTAAAATTTATGTTATTTGATCAGTAAAATTTCTTTTATTATATCAACAGAATTTCCTGCTGCCGGCATCCTTCAGCAGCCAGTAAGGACTCAGTTGGGCAAGTTCCATCCCAATCCTGGCCCCATAGGGGAGGGAATTATATAGGGAGTGTAGAAGAGGAAAAGTACATTTTATGCTTTAATCCACACTTTATTCTTTTAGTTTTTTAGTCTGTGTGTTGATGCCTGGAGCAGTTGTATGGCACAGAGGCAGCCAGGATATTTGGCTGCGGGGTTGCTCAGGGATCTGGCGGCAGGGAACATGGGAAGCTGGGATGCATCTCTTGACCTGCAAGGAAAAGGCCTGCCCCTGCTCCCGCCATCCCAAACTCTTCTCCCTCCATCTCAACCTCTCTGCCTCGGTACAGGCAGCGATCCAGCCAAGGGAGCAGGGATGCAGGACCGGACCATCCTCAGAGCTCCCGATGCTTTGAACGCTTTGCTGGGAACGCTTTGCTGAAGCTTAACACATCTCGCAGAGCCAGGCGGGGGGGAGCAAGTGCTGCTTTGCTTTTCACATGCCTGGGGGTCATGGTGCCTCCTAAAATAAACCCACTGAGCTTCACGCGGCCTTTGCGTGGCGGCACGTGGGCCGGGGGAGAGCACGGAGCAGGGCTGAAGGGTCGTGAAGGGAGGAGAGGGGAAGGGGGGCAGAGGAAAAGGTGGAGGAGAGGATCCTGGCTGGTTTTGAGCGCGATGAACCGAAAGCCTGCATCCCCCAGCCCCATCACTGCCTGCTCTGGTCGGGATCCTGCTCTCCCGTGTGATATTTATTGATCATGCCTCACCATCAGCCTGGGATTTAAACACCAAGGCCTCAGCTCAGTCCGTGCCTGCTTTCTGCTATCCCTTTCCCGATGGGGGATTAGATCAGCTTGGGCTGATCCTCATCAGGTATGATCTCCTTTCAGAGCTAAAGCTGCTCCTGCCAATCTTCCCTCTCATTTTTCCCCAGCTCCCATTGCTGTGTGGGGCTGGATTTGGGATCCCTTGGGGGCAGATGTCCCCAGAATTGCTGGCAGGTCTCCTGGTCCTTGGGGCTGGAGGTTCATGAGGAGATATGTCCTCACAGCCAGAGCATCACACCTGAACTGCCTTTGTCTGTCTGTCCTCTCAGGGATGGAGACCTGGAGTTTCCGAGAATTACCTGGCCCTGGCACAGTCTTAACAGGGAGCTGGGGGCAGAAAGGAATCTCTTGGTCCAGCAGCCCCAGCCGTGTCCTGATCCAGCATCCTTAATAATATTAATAATAATAACAATAATGATGAAAATGATTAATAACAATAACAATCTCAGCTTCCTAGCACCCTCTCCTGTGTTTTCCTGGATGACCCACCTCCCCCATGAAACCAAAGTGCAGTTAATCAGCTCCCTTGGGATTTGGAGTGATAAATTCCTAGCTCATGCCAAGTTTTTCTAGGAAGCCTCGCCGCAGGAGCCCCCTGCCTGCCGGGATACCATCTGGCTGGAGCTGTTTCAGCTGGGAGTCACACCTATGCTTATCATGGGCTCATCCCTGCAGGGATGTGTCCTTGCTCGGAGCAGCTCTGCAGACATCCCACAGTGTCTGAGACTGAGTGTTCTGGAGGTTTTATATTAAAATAGCAAAAAACCTGTGAAAAAACGGGAATTTTGTTTGCTTTTAAACCCAACTGCCAACAACAACCCACTTGTAGCATCCCTTTGGTCCCACATGTGATGGCAACCAGAAACAATGCTTTCTTTGGGATGCTTCTCCCTCGAGCTCCCATCCCTGCTCCGTAAAGGGGCACGCCAAAACCTTGATCAGGAAAATAGAGCTTGAGGAGAAAAATAAATGCATAGACATCTCCTGGTATTTATTCCACCGGTTATAACAGTACCATGGCATGGGGAGAGCACAGGAGGTGGAGGGACACTCAACTGAGCACAGCGCACAGCTACAGCACGATGGAGGGGGAGGACAAGGAGATTTTTCCTTATCACTTTGTTCTTCTCGTGGAAGGAACAAGGACAGAAGTGGATCCCACCCCGGGAGAGGGATGGTGTATACCAATGCTCCGGGGAAGGGCTGGTGTGGGCTCAGCTGAGCACCAGGGAGGAGTTTTATTGCTCTCTGGTGTTAATTCAGGCTTCAGCCCTCTGGTCCTCAACACCCCCCTTCCCACAGGGATAAATGGGATCATATAGCGGGTTGTATAGCAGGTCCTTCCTGGCTGTCTCCTTTAGAGGAGCCCTGAAGGGCAGAGGGGTTGGTGTTCCTTGCACGGATGGGATATTATTTCTCATGTGATGGGTATGGGATGCAGGGAAGGAGGGTGTTCCGCACCATGCCTCGTCCTTGCGAAACAAAAATTGGAGCCTCCCAGTCATTTCTAGGAGGTTGGGTGGAAATGTGGAGGCAGAGACATGGCATATGGCCACCACACGTGGTCCTTCCCGTGCTGACAACATGGGCCAATAACACTCCAAGGTCATTTTCCTTCCTTGCTACTGCCCCGGCTCTGGCTACGGAGACACCCACCGCCGCGGGCATGGGAGGAGGCGTTGGGGTACAGGGGCACATGCTGGCTCTTTGCTCTAAACCTCAGACCAGAGAACAAAACAAACACCACACAGCAGGAACACCTGGGTCAGGGACTCAAGGGGTCACACGGTTCAGGAGGACCCGAGTGACACACGGCAAGGGTGACAACATTGGTGGGGTCCCCGCCGCTGGCAGCAGCCCCCGCCAGACCCTTCGCTGCATCCCCTCCCTGCTCCCCCACTGTCGCACCGGCGGCGAGGGGGGCTCAGCCCCGTCACATCACGGCGCATTTTTCCGCCGATTGCTTCAGGTCCTCTAGTGTGGCCGAAGCTTTGTCCTTCAAGGAATCAAGGTCCAGGTTCTGGATGTTGCTGAGCTGGCCGATAACCGAGTTCTTCTCTTCCTCCTCCTCGTTGTCCTGCTCGATCATCTTGGCCAGCTCCTTGGGCAGCTCCACGTCACCTCCTACCAGCTGGATCTGGTTGTCATCTGTTTCATTCTGAAATGGGCCGAGAAAGAATCAGGAGGGGGGATATCACAGTGGGGAGGGGGCTTCTGGAAGCATGTGCAGGGACCTGTCACAGCAGGGGCTTTGGGCTGTCTTCCTGTTTTAAGGTCCGTGTGGGAAAGTCCCTGGGGCTGAGGGTGGGATGTTGATCCAGAGGGGACATAGCTGAGCTGAGCCTGGGCGCTCACAGCCAAGAGCTGAGATGAAAACCCATGCACAGCACCAGTAAAAACTGGTTTTCAGCGTGCACTGTGGGGGGTTAGGCACCTAATTAAGCTACACGTATGCCTAACAACTGCTCCCACCGGCGATCGGGATCAGCTCTGTGCCAGGAGCCATGGGGAGACTCTGGATGAGGCAGCCCAGCTGCCAAGCGGGATCAGGAATAAGCAGAAGAAACTTGTCAAAAGATGAGAAGGGACATTTCAAGCACGAGAAAACAGAGAAAGGACTGTGGGGCCAGCTCCAAACAAATCCCTATTTTCCCTGGAGAATAAAAAAAATCTCCGCCTTTTCTCTCTCTGCCTTTTCTGGCTTTTGGTAGGGGGAAAAAGAAATTCTCTCGCTGTTTATTTCCTGGCAATAAAAGGAGGGTGGGAAGCAGGGGGGTGGGAATCCAGGCTGGCTGAATAACACCAAACAATCAGAACAATCTCACTTGGCTTAGCCGACCTTTCGGAACTAATATTAGCCTGGCTCCAATTTGGAGTATTCACCGCTGAGAGACTCTTCCTGAATAAAGGGTGGGTTTGGAGGGAGAAGAGCTTGTAGTAATTCTAAGAATGCTTGAATTTTCCCTTGATTATGTTGTTTTTAGTGAATTGTTCGTTGGGCAGAAATTCCAAAATTGGAATCTAGGCGGGAGACATTTGCCAAATAATCTGGGGAGAGAAGCTGGCTAATCCAGCCAGGAAAGTGTAACCCTGGCTCTTCTCCCAGCTCCAGGGAGTCTGGGGTGAAGGTGGCTTTCCCTCATCCAACTGGATTTAGGGGACAAAAGTGGGGCAGAGGGGGATCAAGTCAGGGTCTGGTGGTCTGCGGTGTTTAGGGGTGATGGAAAGGGGCCAAAATCTGGGGAGAAGAATGTTTTGCATTTGGGCTTTGACCGCCCAAGTGCCCCCCTCCCTCCTCCACCCCCATTTCCAGCACGGCCATACCTTGGGAAGCCTGTACTTGTCTCTGAAGTGGGACCTGACAGTGGCTCTCTCTGCCTTGCGCTGGGCAAACTGGGCATCTCTCTCCATCCTGCGAACCACACAGGGCTGTTAACCAACAGCCTGGGCCCCCCATCCTTGGGTTTGCACATCCCCCCAACCTCAGTATCTCCCATTGTCTCTGAAAAGTCCCCCACAATTTCCTCCCCCCAGCGCAGCCTGAAAGGAGAAAACAATCCCATCTCCCGGGCAAGGAAGCGGATTAAGGGATTAGGGGGCTCATTAAACTCCCTCACAGTCCTGCTGTCCCCAGTACTGGCTCTCCCCAGCTCCCATGTATGGGATAGGGGACTGCAGCAGGAGCACCCCCTTCCCTCAGGGACCCTGAGGGTCCAGCCTGTCCCTGCGCCAGTCGCACTCACTTCTCCTCCACCAGCTGCCGTTGATATTCCTCGTACTCCTCACGGGTCATGCCCTGTGCCTCGGCCGGAGACTTCTCGCCCTCACTCTTCTCCTCGCCGCCGAGGCCTCCCGTCAGGTTCTTCAGCTGCCCCCCAACCATGCTCTTCACCATGAACGCCATGGCCTCGGTTCCGGGGGGCCCGGGAGCCCGGGGGCACAGCGGCTGTGGAGCTGGGAGAACCAGGGTTAACTGGGGCTCCGGGGCACAAGGAGTAGGGAAGATGGGAATGCAGAGTTATGGGAGCCCGAGGAACGGGGCTAAGAAGGGGAACGCCAGGGAACCAAGGTATGGTCAGTGCTGGGGTGCTGGGAGTAGAGAGTCACCGGGAAGCAGGAGTGCTGTGGGTAGGAGCTCCTGGGGAGACGGCGTACTTGGTTATGGAGGGGCTGGGGTCAGCAGAGACGAGTTCCAGGGGAGCTGAGTGCTAAGTGCCCGGGCAGCTGGGGTACTGGGTTATGGAGGAGCCGGGATCAGCAGAGCTGACTCCCCATGGAACTGTGGTACGAGGTTGCGGAGGAGATGGGGTCAGCTGAGATGAATTCCCGGGAGGACGGAGTACTGAGTTCCCCGGGAGCCGGGATCAACGGAGTCGAGTTCCCGGGGTGGCAGAGTACTAAATTCCCGGGTTGCAGGGTACTGGGTGGTGGAGGACCCAGGGATAAGGGAGATGAGTTCCCAGGGAGCTAGGGCAAGGGGTTATGGAGGAGCAGGGGTCAGCGCAGATGAATTCCCGGGATGACGGAGTACCGAATTCTCGGGGAGCCGGGGTCAGCGCAGCGGAGTTCCCGGGACGATGGAGTACCGGGTTCCCGGGATGCTGGAGTACCGAGTGATGGAGGAGCTGGGGTCAACGGACCGGAGTTCCCGGGGAGCTGGGGTGCTGTGGATGTGAGTTCCCTGGGCAGAGGAGTCCCGAGCTCCGAGGATGCCGGGGTCAGCGGAGGGGAGCTGCCGGGCTGCCAGAGTACCGAGTTCCCGGGATGTCGGAGTTCGGGGTGCTGGAGTCGCCGGGATGCCGCGGTGTCCGGAGCTCAGCGGGACCGCGCCGCCCCGTCGCCCATGGCGGGGCCAGTCCCTGCTGGGAGCGGAGCAGAGCGGAGCGGAGCGGCGGGCGCTGCAGCACCGGGGCTCGCACAGCTCCGGTGTGTGTGTCCTCGCACGGCGGCGGCGGCACCGCCTCCCGCCCGGCCCCGCCGCCCTCCGCCGGGCGGAGCTGCCGCCATCCCGACCCACGCCGGGGGCACCGAGAGTCCCGTCACCCCCGTGGGAAGAAGGAGCCCCCAGAGCCCCCCAGGGGCACTGGGGGGTGGATGGAGCCACGGCGGGGGCGACGAGCCCCCGGGACACGCTCCACTCCGTGATTCCCGGCTGCTTCATCCCACCGAGAAACAAACCCGCCAAAGTGCCTCTTTCTCACTCTATTCCCCGTCCTGCGTTCTGGCGGGAGGAAAAGCCGAGCTTGACACTCAGTACAAGCTGTATGTACCATGCACCAGTCACAACGGTTTGCTCGTCTATCTAAAGGGAAGGCTCGAAATGCTCCCTCCCCTTTTTCCCGTTAAGGATATCCATGGAAGTATTCCCATCTCTGAAAGTGTTCAAGGCCAGGCTAGTCAGGGTTTGGTCTAGTGGAAGGTGTCCCTGGCCGTGGAAGGGGATTGGAACAAGATCAGTTTTAAGGTCTTTTCTGACCTAAACCATTCCTTGATTCTATGATTCCATGATTTTATAATTATAATTAGTATTAAAGCTGCTCTCAGTTTCCACAATCCAGACACCCATGCATTCATCAATCATCTAAATCAGGAGGATGGAACAGGCATTGATTTCGTTGCAGCATTCCCTCAGTCTCTCCATCCCCACTCTCACTCCTGCTCTTCCCTTTGACTTCAGGCATATTCCAGACCTTGGGGAGTGAGCAATTAATGGCATCAGCAACGTTTCCAGATGGCCAGCCTGGCTTTAACAGACATTTCTCCCTTTTTTCTTCTCTGCTCATGAAAAATGAGCACAGATCCAAAACCCAATCCCAGCCTGCAGGAAATAATTTCATTTCTGAAATCTAAAGACAATCTCTGCAGATTAAAATGATGGAACAGCTGTGAAGTGATAGAACAAAGTGACAGAGGGAGAGGGAATCGGCCCATATCCTCCCATTCCTCCCTGTACAAGGGAAAATTATATCTTAAAAGGAATATGGATTAAAAAATAATGTATTTTCCTTGGATAATAATCTGGTCAGCAGTTCGGCAGGGACTGCTGCTGTTAAGGACAGGAACACCCTTTCAGAGGTGACAAGAGGGGACCTCTTGTCCTGGCGAAGGCTCTCGCGGCAGATCAGAGACCCTTGAATGATGCCAGCAGTTCCCTTGAGTTCATCCAAATGTGCAAATTGCCGCTGGGATGGGGTGCCATTTGTGCCATTTGGCACAACTCCAGTGTCACCCACAGCATCCCCCACCATGCAGGTGCCCCTGTGGCTGCTGCTCTCCCTGAGCTGGCAGCTCAGGAGTCCTCGCAACTGTTTGAAGTGATGGCTTTTGCTTTTTACACCAATCTGCAGCTTCCCCTGAGCATTTTCCCATGGAGAACCCATGGAAAATGAATCTTAACCCACAATGAACTGCCACAGCCTGCTTAAAAATAGGCTGGGAGCCAATGTCCCATTGCAAACAGCATGGTCATGTTCCAGCTGTCAGTCTGGGTGAAAAGAGGGACAGGGAGAAGGATTGTGTCCTTGAGTGCTGGGCACGTCTGAGCCTTGGGTGGGTGCAGAGCAGACTTCAGATGTGGCTGGTCCTGGGAGCTTTGCTCACTCCGGATTTCTCTCTGAGCATCCATTAACAATAAGAGACTGGAAGTCAGGACCGATTTTTTCCAGCTGGGTTAGACGGGTCAGCTCCCACGGAGCCTCCCTGTCTGAGGAACTAAGAGCAAACAGCTCCTGATGAGCAGAAATGCTTGGCCAAGGCAGCTAGGTGAAAATGAGCATGCCGTTCCTGGCAGCGCTTTGGATCTGGTCTCTTGGGATGCTCACTCACCAGGAGATGGATGTGCCCCACGTTGGGAGTGGGGGGATCATGAGGTTGAGTTTTGCAGCCTCTCACAGTCCAAGTTTTTTAGGGATGAGGAGAAAGGCAAAGGAAAGTACCTCCAAAGAGGTTTTGCATCTCTCCCATCCCTTTGCTTTTTTTTGGAGAGGACAGTGTCCCACCTGGAGGTAGAGATGTGAGGACAATCAGAGGGTTCAATGAGCTGGCAAATGATGCTTCAAGGTAGCTGATTTCCCCATTTGCTTTTCCTTGGGCAGCTGAACTGTTTCTTATCCCTTAAATATATTCAAGTAAGGATGAGTCATCCATCCTCACAGGACTCTAACCTGTCGTAATGAGATGTAAATCCTTGCATGACCTATTATATTAGCTTATGCTATATCACACATCTCCATGGATTAGACGGGAGGGAGATGAGACATCCCCCCATCGCAGCCTCAGACGGAAGTTAAGAGGATCCTCTCTCAGCATTGACACCTGATTTAAATTAGATGCAAGCAGTTCCCTCTGCCATGGTGAGAGGGATCGTTCCAGCTCTTCTTTCCATATAACTGGCTCCAAAGGCACAATTACCACAACCAGGGTTTTATATGATGCTCCAGAGATCCCTGAGTGGTGCTGGAGTGGCTGGTTTCTGGAGTGATCCCACAGATTGTAGAGGGGAGGGAAAGGCTTGGTGACCTTAAGCTCCGGTGCCATGGCAGTACAGCCATCAAAAGACCTATCTGATCCTTGGCAGCCTGAAATCCAGGAAACGTAAAGGTTTAAACCTTTGAAGACCCTGAGTAGGTGAAGGAATCCTGGAAAGCTACATATGTGTGTGCTGGAGCGTAATGGGGGTGGGAAATGAGAAGGCATTTCCGAAGAGAACAGGCAGCCTTCTGCCTGGAGAAGTCACGCCGGTGCTCGGCAGCTGATTGTCACTCCTGGTGATGGGGACAGGCACTGCCACCACAGGGACCAGTGCTCTCAGCCCTGACCCCGGGTGCAGGGGCAGAGTCACCTACTCTCTTCCCACCTGCTGCTGGGAGTGCTCCAATGGGATGGGGACAGGGGTACCCTCTTGTGCCCCTCGCTGCTCTGGGCACAGGGATTACCCATGGTGACATCTATCCAGATGTCTCCAGTGCTGTTATGGACCACCAGCTCCCACGAGTTCAAGGTCTTGAGCAAAACATCCTTTCAGAGGGGTGTGGGATTCCTTCTAGGAGATCCCTTACTGGGATCAAAGTGCTACCGTGCCACTGACAGAGGGAATAAAGAAAGTTTAGGATAAGGGTATTGTAAACTACCAAATAAAATGAATTTCTGGCATGTTACTTGAACAGAATTCCATAAAGCTGGACTTTGCTTTGGCTGAGGAGAATAGACAGCAGTGCAGCAGGCAGCTTGGTATGAAAATGAAACCAAATCTGCCTTTTCCTGACCTAGGGAGGTTGTTCCCATGGAAAGCCTTCCCACTCCTGTAGAACCAAGCCTTTAAGTTCCCAAAATCTGTTGACATCACCAAAGAATGAAAAAAATCTCAGTGTACACACGTCCTAACCCTTTGCCTGCCCCGGCAGAGCATCCCCTGGGAGTCCCCGAATGGTCCCTGGGAAGGGAAGGCAGGAGTAGGGATGCTGCTGGGATGTCCCCACAATTCCCTCAGAATCCCCTAATCTCATCCCCGTGTCAGTGAGCATGGGGATGCCCAGACTCATCATTGCTGTGTTTTGGGAGGTTTGGGGTGGGAATGGTCCTATCATACAGGACATACCTCCTGAGGGATATGGGTTTGGGGTGGGAATGGTCCTGTCATATGGGACATACAGCCCCTGTCCCAAGGGATGGGGTGTTTAGGGGTGCCATGAGTGCTTTGGCAGAAGAGGAGGGGAAGCATGTCACAGCAGAGAGCCGGGTGGTTGCCAATCCTGCTGGGAGGAGGGATGCTGTGGGGGGTGAGGAAGAAGAGGGAGGTGGTTGGGATGAAGGGGTGGGGGGGGGACTCCCACGGCAGTGTCTGCACCGAGCGGTGACACAAATCCACCCGGACAGACATACAGAGCATGTAAACAGGCACATGGGGAGACCATGTGCTGCTTTGTGCCGGTGGTGGAGAGCAAGCCTGGAGCAAAGGCACACGCCAGCTGAAACACACACACGGCCACACACGCACACAGCATTCCCACGGGGGATCTTCCCAGCCTTGCCTTCATTTCCTGGAGTGCTCAGAAGATAAAAAAAAAAACAGATAGAGAGAGAGAGAGTGAGAGAGAGAGGCTGAAGAGGTGAACGACATGGAACGGTGATGGGAATGGCTTTGTACGTCATGCTAAAAATAGTCCTTGTGATAAAGTGGATCGCAGAGGGGGAGGAGATGCCGGCAGCGCACAGATGCTGGAGAGGGATGCCAGGGGTTGGGAAGCCCGTGCTCCAAGGTTGGAGCAGAAGGACCATAATTAGAGCTGGTAATTGGCTCCAAGCAGCACTGAGGGAATTAAACAGTGGGGGGCACGTTGCACCCCCTCCTCTTGGGATGGAGGCTTTGGGACCCTGGGAAATGTGAAGTAAGCGGCTGCTGCAGCTGGAATTGGCTTCCTTTGAAGGGAGATTGAGATTTTTGCTTGTTTAGGGAGAGGAAGGCTCCC